GAGGTAGCCTGACTGCCATTAGGTACCGAGATGAGATCCTCAGACCCCTTGTGAGACCATATGCTGGTGCGGTTGGCCCTGGGTTCCTCCTAATGCAAGACAATGCTAGACCTCATGTGGCTGGAGTGTGTCAGCAGTTCCTGCAAGAGGAAGGCATTGATGCTATGAACCGCCCGTTCCCCAGACCTGAATCCAATTGAGCACATCTGGGACATCATGTCTCGCTCCATCCACCAACGCCACGTTGCACCACAGACTGTCCAGGAGTTGGCAGATGCTTTAGTCCAGGTCTGGGAGGAGATCCCTCAGGAGACCATCCGCCACCTCATCAGGAGCATGCCCAGGCGTTGTAGGGAGGTCATACAGGCACGTGGAGGCCACACACACTACTGAGCCTCATTTTGACTTATTTTAAGGACATTACATCAAAGTTGGATCAGCCTGTAGTGTGGTTTTCCATTTTAATTTTGAGTGTGACTCCAAATCCAGACCTCCATGGGCTGATACATTTGATTTCCATTGATCATTTTTGTGTGCTTTTGTTGTCAGCACATTCAACTATGTAAAGAAAAAAGTATTTAATAAGATTATTTCATTCATTCAGATCTAGGATGTGTTATTTTAGTGTTCCCTTTATTTTTTTGAGCAGTGTATATATATATGCTCTAACTTTTATGACCAAAGAAAGATACATAAAATAACTTTTATGGCCAAGAAATCAATATCATGACGTAAATCCACCTCAACACTGAAGGAAAGAGGTCTGAACTGCATTAGTGTGGAATAATGGATCACTGTAAATTGTAAGCTTCATTGTTTTGTGTAGTTTACATTAGATGTATTGTCCTCCGGCTCCGAAGATAATTCTTCCTTGAAATATGTCACTTGTAACTGCACCTTTCACCAGGCGATATGACATTGTGATAGTAACTTAGGCATGATTAACGATATGAGTCTTCAGTCTTCTAACTAATCAACGTCACAAATACATTATAGAGCAAAATATCAATAGGGGAAATAGCTGTTCAGTTGGGTGGTGTGTGGACATTATGACAGGGGAAATAGCTGTCCAGTTGGGTGGTGTATGGACATTATGACAGGGGAAATAGCTGTCCAGTTGGGTGGTGTATGGACATTATGACAGGGGAAATAGCTGTCCAGTTGGGTTGTGTATGGACATTATGACAGGGGAAATAGCTGTTTAGTTGGGTGGTGAATGGACATTATGACAGGGGAAATAGCTGTTTAGTTGGGTGGTGTATGGACATTATGACAGGGGAAATAGCTGTCCAGTTGGGTGGTGTATGGACATTATGACAGGGGAAATAGCTGTTTAGTTGGGTGGTGTATGGACATTATGACAGGGGAAATAGCTGTCCAGTTGGGTGGTGTATGGACATTATGACAGGGGAAATAGCTGTCCAGTTGGGTTGTGTATGGACATTATGACAGGGGAAATAGCTGTCCAGTTGGGTTGTGTATGGACATTATGCATTGTGATAGTAACTTAGTCATGATGACTGAGGATATGAGTCTTCTGTCTTCTTGAGAACCAATAAACTCCCAGAACAATAAAAAGGTAGAAGACATATTTCCTGTAAAGCCATCCAGTTGACTGGTGCATAGACACATTGTGATAGTAGGGGAGAGTGGGGTAAGTTGAGATTTTTTTTTTTACATTCAGCATCCCTCCCATCAAGGGAAATACACTGAGAGTACAAAACATTAGGAACACCTTCCGAACATTGAGTTGCACCGCCCTTTGCCCTCAGAACAGCCTCAACTTGTCGGGGCATGGCCTCCACAAGGTGTCGAAAGAGTTCCACAGGGATGCTGGCCCCATGTTGACTCTGGCTGGATGTCCTTTGGGTGATGGACCATTCTTGATACACACGGGAAACTGTTGAGCATGAAAAACCCAGCAGCGTTGCAGTTCATTGACACAAACCAGTGCGCCTGACACTTAGCCTTCTACCATACCCCGTTCAAAGACATTTAAATATTTTGTCTTGCCCATTCACCCTCTGATTGGCACACATACACAATCCATATCTCAATTGACTCAAGGCTTAAATATCCTTCTTTAACCTGTCTCCTCCCCTTCATCTATACTGATTGAAGTGAATTTAACAAGTGACATCGATAAGGGACCATAGCTTTCACCTGGATTCACCTGGTCAGTCTGTGTCATGGAAAGAGCAGGTATTCTTAATGTTTTGTACACTCAGTGTACAGTATTCTTTCTAACGAAGATTCTAGATATACTTCAGGATGTTGTGTTTCCCTGGAAATAATCAGAATTCATGCAAACATTACTGTTTTGAAAACATAGCTTGTCCAAAACAAGTGGTCTCTTGGCACAACTTACGAAGAGTTGGGGTAAGATGAGCCACAGGACAGGGTTAAGTTACATTTCTGTACTGAATGAAATATGACCACTACCTTTTTAAAACCTATCTGTCTATCTTTATTGTCAGATAGGTCTATCTGTCTATCTTTATTTCCCAAACACAATTCAACACAATCACTTTTTTTTATTTATATTTTAATCATTTGAAACATATTTTAACACAAGAACCTAACAAACACTTTGCACTTTTTCTACACTTTTAACATAGTCCCTGTTGTTACCTCATATGCCTTTTAGCAGAAGCTTTTATCCAAAGCAACTTACAGTAACGCCTGCAGACTTTTGCATATGGGTGGTCCCGGGAATCAAACCCACTAACCTGGCGTTGCAAGTGCCATGCTCTACCAACTGAACTACAAAAGACCAGAGGTAATGCTTTGCATTACACCTGGGAAGAAAACACTTTCATTGGCTCAACTTGCCATTGGCTCAACCACTGGGTCAACTTACCCCATGGCCAATGGCTCAACCACTAGGTGAACTTACCACATGGCCATTGGCTCAACCATTGGATCAACTTACCTCATGGCCATTGGCTCAACCATTGGATCAACTTACCCCATGGCCATTGGCTCAACCATTGGGTCAACTTACCCCATGGCCATTGGCTCAACCACTAGGTGAACTTACCTCATGGCCATTGGCTCAACCATTGGGTCAACTTACCTCATGGCCATTGGCTCAACCATTGGGTCAACTTACCCCATGGCCATTGGCTCAACCATTGGGTCAACTTACCTCATGGCCATTGGCTCAACCATTGGGTCAACTTACCTCATGGCCATTGGCTCAACCATTGGGTCAACTTACCTCATGGCCATTGGCTCAACCATTGGGTCAACTTACCTCATGGCCATTGGCTCAACTTAACCCAAGGCAAACATGTTGACTATTTTAGCCTAAACAGCTACAAGGGTGTACGTATGTGCTAGATTTATGATTTCATATTGAAGCTTGTAGAGACCCCAACTGATGTATAGAACAATCTTTAAATTATCTACTTTATGGTGCAAATCAGTTTTTTTGTACCTAACTTGTTTACCACTTTACAGACTCCATGAAATGTTGACCTCTTCCTAAATATTTGGTTAAAATATTATGATTTCCAAGAAACAAGGTTTGGCTCAACTTACCCCACTCTCCTGTAACTCATAATCATGAATAACTGACAATATGAGTCATGAGTATTTTTGAGAAACAACCTCAATAAAACTCACAGAACAAAATAACTGGTTGGGAAAACCATTCTCTGTTAATCCAATAATTTGGGTGGTGTTGCTGGGGGCATGGTTTTATTCACTTCCCACCCGTCTGACAACAGGACTGGGCCTGTGGCGTGAAAGGCGTGCCATCTGATGCCATAGGGGTGGTGTGTGTGAGCCATGCATCCGCTTGCTGGCCCTGTGGGTGGGTGTGAGCCTGCATCCTCTGGCCTGGGTACACGCCTGCTTCAAAACACTGGGCCTCAACAGGCCCTCCGAAGGTGGGGAGGACACTGACTTAGTACATATAGGGATTACGCACAGTCACGCTAACACACCAAATTGTAATTCCACTCCTCCGTGTATGTGTAGTGATTCTGACATTGTCTTTGCTCACCAAAAAACGTGTCCTGTTCGATACGGTCAAAGACTAGTGGCGTGTTAAGATTGTATTCCTTTCCTCCAGTTATCGCTGTCACTGTGTGGCCCTTTTCAAAGCAGAGCCGCATCTGAACAAGAGACCCTGCTTTCCATATGAAAGGCCTTTAAAATAAAAATCTGCTTCCCAAATGGCACCTTTATTCACTTTGTAGTGCACTACTTTTGACCAGGGCCCCCCATAGGCCTGGTCAAGAGTAGTGTATTATATCGAGAATAGGGTGCCATTTGGGATACGTATTATTCATTTTGAAGTGTTCCTCTGACCCAGAGCAGCAACGTGAATAGCGCTCTCTGCTTGCTAAGCAACACAGACTGCAGAGGACACGGTAGCATGGCGTGCGAAGCCACCCAGAACCCATTCAAAGGGTTAGAGCAGTAGCACAGTGCAGTTTCTCCAGACGGTTTGTGGGTGGTTGTTTACCCCCGTCCTGGAACCACGAAGGCTTATCTCTGGATGAAACAGAATACTGAAGGAAAATGTTTACCAATAGTCTCGCTCGGCTTGTCAGACTCATGACATGGCGCCAGCAGATGTGGGAAGAGACTATTTTACCACAGTGAAGAATGAAGAACGTTTGCCAATATATATTGTGGTTGGTGTCGGACCTGTCTGAGGCTGTCCTGAGTGTGGATCTGAAGACTGCACAGTTTTTTTTGGGGATTGGCACGGCAGACATCACTGCAGTTTCAGAGTGATTGGCTTTATCGGATGAAAGAATGAAGAATGACATGATATTTGCCAATATGACTAGCCTCCTTATGGTCTGAGACGGAGGGTCTTAGGATAGCAGATTTATTGGGATTTGACTGGCAGGGAAGGCATAGCAGACGTGGATGGGGAAACGTTGGTGAAAATACGATCCGTCCATGTTGGAAGCATCAGATCCCCCCCGCGTCTGCTGGATTCATCCGTTCTTTTCTGGGATTGGGAAGACATGGCTTTAGCGATGGAGGCAGAGAGGTTGCACGGGCCCCGTCTCCATCGGTGTCATCCGTGGAGGGAGAGCATGCAACGGCTCACAAGGAGGTTGCTGTGCTGCTGCTCCTGTGTGGGAGGTGAAGACAAGGCCCTGCCACCAGGCCAGAGCCAGAGAGGGCAGAGCGGAGAGAGGGATACCCAGCCTGAGTGGACCAGTCTGGGGGAGCAGGCGGAGGACCAGGGGGTGTCAGAGGAGGGAGAGGCCAGTGCTATTCACATCACTGTGGAGGATCTGAGGGTAGGTCAGGCTCTGGGGCTGGTCAACCCCAGCTTCACCCTGACTGGAGAAGAGGAGGAGGAGGAGGAGGAGGAGGAGGAGGAGGAGGAGGAGGGGGTGAAGGAGGGGGCACTAGTCCAGAGGTTCTGCACTGTTAGTCGATCTGCCAGCTATGGGTCAGCCGTCTGCAGAGCTCTGAAAAAGCCTCTCGCCTCCCTGCCTCTCCAGCCTGGAGGAGACCTTGGGAGGGGGAGCAAGGAGGAACAGGAGGAGAAGATGGAGGTAGAGGAGGACCCAATATTGTTCGACACACCTGTCTACTCAGGTACAGATAGCCTCCTGACTCCGCCTGTCATCAACCTGATCCCGCCCACTCCCTCTGACATCATAAATGACGACCAATTCTTTGACGACATCCTCGTGGCGCAAACGTCTGGGACTGATAGCGATGGGAGGAGCTACGCCGGCGGGGAAGAGCAGGAGGAGAGTGAGGAAGAGGAGAGGATGGAACAGGACGTCTTGGAGCAGGAGACGGAGGAGGAGGAGGAGGGGACCAACACAGACACTGAGACCCAGGAGAGGCAGGCGGTGGATGGGAGGAAAGGGGATCTAGGAGATCCAGACCTGGAGGTGTTCCTCAAAGCTCCAGCCACTGAGAGGGAGGGGGAGGTCAGGGTCAGGGCTGTTGAGGGGGAGAAGGAGAGACCCAAGCCCAGCTTCCTCCGTAGTGCCTACCAGGTGGCTCCTCTACCTGAGTACCCATGCAAGAGTGAGTCCCTCTCACCATTAGGACCTGCCCATCCCTTCTCTCTCTGGTCTGTTATAATAGGACCCATCACTCTACTACAGTCCCAGAAACTCTACACCCTTTCAAAAGGAATTCAACCAGTGTGATTTTTTTGTTTAATCTCTGAAATATTTGATCCAAATGGATTTATTTGTCATCTTTTCTATTCTAGGGAGCTTCAACACAACCATCAACCAGCTGTTGTTCACTGAGCACAACCTGGGTGAGTGACACTCAATACTCTGCTGTTCAGTTTGTTTTAATGACCCTGATGGTCGTTGGGGTTGAGGCTAGGGCATTCATCAGGTGATCAGACTGATGTTAGTGTGGTAGATGGAAACACATTGGGCTCCCTCCAGTACGGCTTTTGAGCTCACATTTACCTTTTTGTTTTCATATTGGTACTCCATTCAGAGTCGATTGCAATGATAATGTGACAGTACAGTACCTCAAAGGTCTCTAATGTTGTCTCAAAGGTCTCTAATGTTGTCTCAAAGGTCTCTAATGTTGTCTCAAAGGCCTCTAATGTTGTCTCAAAGGCCTCTAATGTTGTCTCAAAGGCCTCTAATGTTGTCTCAAAGGCCTCTAATGTTGTCTCAAAGGTCTCTAATGTTGTCTCAAAGGTCTCTAATGTTGTCTCAAAGGCCTCTAATGTTGTCTCAAAGGTCTCTAATGTTGTCTCAAAGGCCTCTAATGTTGTCTCAAAGGCCTCTAATGTTGTCTCAAAGGCCTCTAATGTTGTCTCAAAGGCCTCTAATGTTGTCTCAAAGGTCTCTAATGTTGTCTCAAAGGTCTCTAATGTTGTCTCAAAGGCCTCTAATGTTGTCTCAAAGGCCTCTAATGTTGTCTCAAAGGCCTCTGATGTTGCCTCAAACACATCTGATTTTGTCTCAAAGGCCTCTAATGTTGTCTCAAAGGCCTCTAATGTTGTCTCAAAGGCCTCTAATGTTGTCTCAAAGGTCTCTAATGTTGTCTCAAATGCCTCTAATGTTGTCTCAAAGGCCTCTGATGTTGCCTCAAACACATCTGATTTTGTCTCAAAGGCCTCTAATGTTGTCTCAAAGGCCTCTAATGTTGTCTCAAAGGCCTCTAATGTTGTCTCAAAGGTCTCTAATGTTGTCTCAAAGGCCTCTAATGTTGTCTCAAAGGACTCTAATGTTGTCTCAAAGGCCTCTGATGTTGCCTCAAACACATCTGATTTTGTCTCAAAGGCCTCTAATGTTGTCTCAAAGGCCTCTAATGTTGTCTCAAAGGCATCTAATGTTGTCTCAAATGTCTCTAATGTTGTCTCAAAGGCCTCTAATGTTGTCTCAAAGGCCTCTGATGTTGCCTCAAACACATCTGATTTTGTCTCAAAGGTCTCTAATGTTGTCTCAAAGGTCTCTAATGTTGTCTCAAAGGTCTCTAATGTTGTCTCAAAGGCCTCTAATGTTGTCTCAAAGGCCTCTAATGTTGTCTCAAAGGCCTCTGATGTTGTCTCAAAGGCCTCTAATGTTGTCTCAAAGGTCTCTAATGTTGTCTCAAAGGTCTCTAATGTTGTCTCAAAGGTCTCTAATGTTGTCTCAAAGGCCTCTAATGTTGTCTCAAAGGTCTCTAATGTTGTCTCAAAGGCCTCTAATGTTGTCTCAAAGGCCTCTAATGTTGTCTCAAAGGCCTCTAATGTTGTCTCAAAGGCCTCTAATGTTGTCTCTAAGGTCTCTAATGTTGTCTCAAAGGTCTCTAATGTTGTCTCAAAGGCCTCTAATGTTGTCTCAAAGGCCTCTAATGTTGTCTCAAAGGCCTCTGATGTTGCCTCAAACACATCTGATTTTGTCTCAAAGGCCTCTAATGTTGTCTCAAAGGCCTCTAATGTTGTCTCAAAGGTCTCTAATGTTGTCTCAAATGCCTCTAATGTTGTCTCAAAGGCCTCTGATGTTGCCTCAAACACATCTGATTTTGTCTCAAAGGCCTCTAATGTTGTCTCAAAGGCCTCTAATGTTGTCTCAAAGGTCTCTAATGTTGTCTCAAAGGCCTCTAATGTTGTCTCAAAGGACTCTAATGTTGTCTCAAAGGCCTCTGATGTTGCCTCAAACACATCTGATTTTGTCTCAAAGGCCTCTAATGTTGTCTCAAAGGCCTCTAATGTTGTCTCAAAGGCATCTAGTGTTGTCTCAAATGTCTCTAATGTTGTCTCAAAGGCCTCTAATGTTGTCTCAAAGGCCTCTGATGTTGCCTCAAACACATCTGATTTTGTCTCAAAGGCCTCTAATGTTGTCTCAAAGGCCTCTAATGTTGTCTCAAAGGCCTCTAATGTTGTCTCAAAGGTCTCTAATGTTGTCTCAAAGGCCTCTAATGTTGTCTCAAAGGACTCTAATGTTGTCTCAAAGGCCTCTGATGTTGCCTCAAACACATCTGATTTTGTCTCAAAGGCCTCTAATGTTGTCTCAAAGGCCTATAATGTTGTCTCAAATAATGCTAATGTTGTCTCAAAGGCCTCTAATGTTGTCTCAAAGTATCTAATGTTGTCTCAAAGGCCTCTAATGTTGTATCAAAGGCCTCTAATGTTGTCTCAAAGGCCTCCAATGTTGTCTCAAAGGCCTCTAATGTTGTCTCAAAGTCTCTAATGTTGTTTCAAAGGCCTCTAATGTTGTCTGAAAGGCCTCTAATGTTGTCTCAAAGTCTCTAATGTTGTCTCAAAGGCCTCTAATGTTGTCTCAAAGCCTCTAATGTTGTCTCAAAGGCCTCTAATGTTGTCTCAAAGTCTCTAATGTTGTCTGAAAGGCCTCTAATGTTGTCTCAAAGTCTCTAATGTTGTCTCAAAGGCCTCTAATGTTGTCTCAAAGCCTCTAATGTTGTCTCAAAGTCTCTAATGTTGTCTCAAAGGTCTCTAATGTTGTCTTAAAAGTCTCTAATGTTACCTAAAAGGCCTCTAATGTTGTCTCCTTCTCTCTCAGGGTATTGTGTGTATTTCCCCGTGTTTGGCCTGGTGTGGCTGTACAGCCTGTTCCCAGGTCCAGGTCTGGTTATACAGCCTGTTCCCAGATCTGGTCTGGTTATACAGCCTGTTCCCAGGTCTGGTGTGGCTATACATCCTGTTCCCAGGTCTGGTCTGGTTATACAGCCTGTTCCCAGGTCTGGTGTGGCTATACAGCCTGTTCCCAGGTCTGGTTATACAGCCTGTTCCCAGGTCTGGTGTGGCTATACAGCCTGTTCCCAGGTCTGGTCTGGTTATACAGCCTGTTCCCAGGTCTGGTCTGGCTATACAGCCTGTTCCCAGGTCTGGTGTGGCTACACAGCCTGTTCCCAGGTCTATACAACTATACAAAGGTCTCCACTCCCCACAGAGCTAGTGGCCTTTCTCTCATTTCAACTTCAAACTAAGGGGGGACAATGTAACGATGCAGAGAAAGATGAGATCAATCATCAATACATACTGTAAAGGTACCGGTATCAAGTACAGGGGAAAAAAACGACAAGGGGCTGTGAGATCTAGATAGTCCCTGAAGAAGGAAGAGAAGAGAGTCGAGTATGTGTTGAAAAATGTTGGGTCTGGTTCCCTTTCTAAACTACTTTCCTTACAACAGTTATGTGTGTATGTGTGTGTGTGTCCCTTGGAAGGAACACAGTAAGAACTCTCTCACCCTGTGTGTTCTGACTGAGTAGGCTTCTTGAGGATGATGTTCATCTCTCCATTACCAGTGGTTTCCCTGCTGGCTGCTGGAAACCGGGTCCGCCCAGCTAGAAGCTTGAGGCAACCATGGTGTACATCCTGCCTCAGCATGCCTCAGCCTGCCTCAGCTTGACTCACTCTGCCTCAGCATGCCTCAGCCTGCCTCAGCCTGCCTCAGCTTGACTCACTCTGCCTCAGCATGCCTCAGCCTGCCTCAGCCTGCCTCAGCTTGACTCACTCTGCCTCAGCATGCCTCAGCATGCCTCACTCTGCCTCAGCTTGACTCACTCTGCCTCAGCATGCCTCAGCTTGACTCACTCTGCCTCAGCCTGCCTCAGCCTGCCTCAGCCCAGACTTTCCTGTCTTACTGTCTTCTGTTTGGGCTTTCCTGGAAACCTGTCTGAGGGCTGACACATGGGTTGGACTGAGATGGGGACAGTGCTGGTTACAGGATAGCTGCCTGGACCTCTCAGGGTTCTACTGTCTCTACCTGGACCTCTCAGTGTTCTACTGTCTCTGCCTGGACCTCTCAGTGTTCTACTGTCTCTGCCTGTACCTCTCAGTGTTCTACTGTCTCTACCTGGACCTCTCAGAGTTCTACTGTCTCTGCCTGGACCTCTCAGTGTTCTACTGTCTACTGTCTCTGCCTGTACCTCTCAGAGTTCTACTGTCTCTGCCTGGACCTCTCAGTGTTCTACTGTCTACTGTCTCTGCCTGGACCTCTCAGTCTTCTACTGTCTCTACCTGGACCTCTCAGTGTTCTACTGTCTCTGCCTGGACCTCTCAGTGTTCTACTGTCTACTGTCTCTTCCTGGACCTCTCAGTGTTCTAATGTCTCTGCCTGGACCTCTCAGTGTTCTACTGTCTACTGTCTCTGCCTGGACCTCTCAGTCTTCTACTGTCTCTGCCTGGACCTCTCAGTGTTCTACTGTCTCTGCCTGAACCTCTCAGTCTTCTACTGTCTCTGCCTGGACCTCTCAGTGTTCTACTGTCTACTGTCTCTGCCTGGACCTCTCAGTGTTCTACTGTCTCTGCCTGAACCTCTCGGTGTTCTACTGTCTACTGTCTCTGCCTGGACATCTCAGTGTTCTACTGTCTCTGCCTGGACCTCTCAGTGTTCTACTGTCTCTGCCTGGACCTCTCAGTGTTCTACTGTCTCTGCCTGGACCTCTCAGTGTTCTACTGTCTCTGCCTGGACCTCTCAGTGTTCTACTGTCTACTGTCTCTGCCTGTACCTCTCAGTGTCTACTGTCTCTGCCTGGACCTCTCAGTGTTCTACTGTCTCTGCATGGACCTCTCAGTGTCTACTGTCTCTGCCTGTACCTCTCAGTGTTCTACTGTCTCTGCATGGACCTCTCAGTGTTCTACTGTCTACTGTCTCTGCCTGGACCTCTCAGTGTTCTACTGTCTCTGCCTGGACCTCTCAGTGTCTACTGTCTCTGCCTGGACCTCTCAGTGTTCTACTGTCTCTGCCTGGACCTCTCAGTGTTCTACTGTCTCTGCCTGAACCTCTCAGTGTTCTACTGTCTCTGCCTGGACCTCTCAGTGTCTACTGTCTACTGTCTCTGTCTGGATCTCTCAG